CTCTTATAACTATGTAAAAACGCTTATTAATAGAAATTAATTTATATAGCCTAGCCTATTACTAAATAATTTTATACTAAACTCGTATATCTAAATTTAGAAATATATCTAAATTAGCTCCTATATCGGGCCTATTACGTATAGTAATTACTTTATTAACTTACTTTTTTATATTTACTTTATATAGCGCTTATATTACTTTTTTAATTACTCGGGCTTGCGCTAAGAGCTTAGTATAAAAAAAGAGCTCTTTAATAGCTTTCTAGAGGATTCTTTTCCTTTCCCCTTAGAGCTATATCTTTTTAGCCTTTTTTTAAGCTAATTATAACTTTAATAAGAGGTTATAAAACTATTTTAAAATAGCTACTTTTTTCTTATATTAATTTCCGAGATTTATAATATTCTTAACTCGATATTATTAAGACCTCTAAGTCTCCTTTTCTCTTATTAAACTATCCTTTATATTATATTCTTAAGTAATACTCAGGAGGTAATTAAGGGGGCTATAAGGAAATTATTTAAATTATAAGCTTTAAGGTTATATTTATAAAATCCTCGTAATATTAAGCCTTTTTATATATTATAAATTTTTTAACTTAATAACTCTTATATAGGTTCTTATTATACTTATTAAGAATATTTATATTTAAAGATCCTTTTTTTTAATTATATAGTATTTTTTTATATTATATTATTAAACTTATTTATTACGCTAATTAATTAGGTAAGTAGCCGTTACGTAGGTAATTTTTTTTATTAATTTAGCTAGTTAATCTTTAATTACGGGCCGGCTATAAAAAAATTATTTAATAAAAAAGCTACTTAAAATAATAATAAAAAACTAGTTATTTAAGTAGTTTTATTAATTAATATAGTTTAATATAGTAAATACTAATTTTTTATAAGTAATAAAGGGCTATGATTACTTAATTCCGTACGGTATTTAAGAATTACCTCTTTTTTTATTTATTTTTATAAAGTTAATTAGTACGAATTTCCTATCCCGTATGGTATTAAAAAGTCGTTTTTTTTACGTAGTAAGATACTTTACTAATTTATAATAATAAAATTTAATTATTAATTAGTATTAGTATCCTTATTATAAGATAGCTAGTTCGAACCGTAAGTTAATAAAAAGATTAATTAAATTATATAAATTTTTACGTAAGTATAAAAAGGAGGTTTTAATTATAGGTTGGGCTAGTTATAATAATTATAAATAGGGCCCCTAATTAGCCCCTGTGTAGTTAGCCGTATGCCGCGGTCGAATTAGACTTCTAATTTAATATTATTTAAATAAATATTTAATTTAAATAATATATTTTTATATTAAAAAATATAAGCCTAGCTCTTTTAAATTATTTTTAAGTATTTCTTTTTTAGTTACTTTAAAAAAAACAAAAACAAATACTCTTTCTTATTACTATATTAAAATCTAAACTTTTAATATTCTTTTTTTTAACAAGCTGCTATATATGGGTTATTTATTATTAAGTAAGGCTAGTAAAGACGGGGTGTGTTTAGAAGTGACTCCGGCTACTTGGTACTAAAATAATAGCAATAGTTCTGCCAAAATGAAAATGCCGGCGTGGGGGATTATTCACCATAGATGGTTTTCCGTTACCCGCCATTCACACCGAGACTAAGTCGCATTGCATATCGATCTCATGCTCACATGCACCCACCGCATTTTTGAACCTCGCTAACGCTAGATTTGGTTGGTGGAAGGCACATTACTCAATCACATGTTGTGGATTCTGTGCATATCTCAGCTTGGATGAAGAAGAAAGCTCAGATGGCTTTCGAGGACCGATTTCAGAGCTTAGTCAGCATCACTTCGAACAAGAATAGTAGAGATTAGCTCTGGCCGATTCAGAAATGCCTACCGCTGAGAAAAGTCGGTAAAATTCGGACGAGCTGCATGAACTCGATGTGGAAGTCTTTTTGATGCACGAGAAACCCTGGGAAAGGTCGGAAAGCCATTATCCATCTTTGGAAGTTTCATAAGTGAGTACATTCAACTCCCCTGCGGTAGGCGTATCATTTGAAAGTTATGGCTGTCGTGGGACCCATAGGTTCTGTCGGATTCTATCAAGCAGCATGTCAAATGCAGTCTTGAGTTGAAGTTTCATCTTTCGTTCATAAGCTATTAAGCCTGTATGTAAAATGGTGTGCAACATGACCAAGCTGCGGTATGCACGTCAAGAAGATGGTGGTGATCGCAATACTCGCAGGGAACTGGTGGGGAAGTCTGCGAATCTTGGACTGATAGCTGACGTTTACCCCTATGCTGCCCAAGACGTAAGAGGCGGCATCTATCAGCGAGCGGTGATGCGATGAAGTTAGCCTCCTTGAATGGAAAGTCTTACTTACCGCGAAACAGTCTCACTCTGGAGTCTGGTCTACTAGTGCAAGTGCAGTAAGAGTGTAAGTCAAAATCTATGCTGAGTAACGAAATAGAGAACCACTGGAGTTTGTGGCAAGCCTTGACAACCAGCTGGCCCTTGATTGGTCGTAAGGCAGCGTGCGATGGGCATTAACAAGCATGAAGTCACTTGAATCTGCCGAAGGATAATGGAGCTGATATTCCTCAGGAAGCTTTCTAGTGAAGCAGCGAGTATCCCAGTCTCGCCGACAGCTAATAGAGTGGACTGGTGATGCAGGCAATTTATTGCCGAGTCAGCTGCTCTGGCTCGGGGAACGACTCTGAATATCGTACAAAAAGAAGAGTTCAGATGGTCCTCGTCGGAGAATTTGATCAGGGTTGCCTCGAATTCTATGCCAGCCGCTTCCAGGCCCTGTCGAGTCGCGCACATCAGGATGGTCGGCGGTGCCAACAACCGGTCTCCGCCACTGGACTGTGCATCCTGACACCCACCTCATTGGTTGAATCCTTGACAAAAATTGCCTTTTTGAAGAGGCAGATAGCATAATAGCATAATAGACTTCGGGCAACACGAACTGCTCATGCTAGGTATCTTCGAAGAACGAACTGTTGGAGACGGAGCACCGGAATGACGCGATCCATTGGGGAAGGTCAAAATCAGTAGGCAGAGTGGGAAGAAACTGGTCAATCAACGGACCGTAGCTTTCGAAGGTATGCAGATACGACTACTTAAAGGATGTTCTCCTCGACCTTTATCAATTGATCTATCTCCCTATTCATCATCATCACTCATCTTTCATCCTTGGTCTTTCCTCGACCTAATACCTCTTAATTGCTTGTAAGACGGTCATCAACAACATATACTTATATACCGAAAGAAGATAATCCCCGAGAAACCTTGGTTTAGTTATACTGTCAGGTACACAATGCGCTTCTCCAAGTCTCTTATCATCATGGTGGCAGCGACCATGGGTGCGAATGGCGCGCCATCTAGCATCGACTCACGCGAGCAAAGGTACGTGGCGATCATAAACTCGTTGACCTAGGATATCAAGCTAATATGACGTAGCGCTATTATTCAGCCAGCCCTAGTGACTCGACAGGCTCCTCCAGCTGTTCCAGTTGCTGCTCCTCCTGCTTCTGCTCCCGTCACGCAGGCAGAAGGCGACAAGAAGGGAGAAGACAAGAAGAAGGGCGATGGCGAGGGAGACCGCAATGGGGCGGACCGTGACGGAGATCGTAACGGTGGTGACCGTGGCGGACGTGACGGAGATCGCGACGGCGACCGAGACTGCCGTGCAGAAGATCGTGGGCGTGACAGAGACGGAAGATCGTGTTGTGTGCGAGGAGGACGTGGAGGAGGGCGCGATGGTGACCGCGAGGGCGATCGTAAGGTGGCTCGCGAGGACCGCAATGGAGATCGTAACGGAGATCGCGATGGTGACCGCAGCGGCGGTGATCGAGGTGGACGGGATGGTGACCGCAATGGTGACCGTGAGTGCTTCCGGGATGGTGATCGCGGTGGTCGCGGTGGCGATGGTGAGAGACGTCCTCCTCCTCCTCCCCCGGCCGGTCCTCCGGGCTTCCCCGCTCCGTTCCCCGCCCCGGTCCAACCCCGCCCCGGTTTCCCCGGCGCCTACCCCCCTGGCTTCCCTGGCGCGTTCCCTCCTGGACCTCCTCCTCGTGGCCCTGATGGAGATCGAGATGAGGACAAGAAAAAGCCTGCCGAGGACAAGAAGCCTATCCCAGCATAAATCATTATTCCCCCTGATTGTCGACTGACTGGTTGTACTCACTTCCGGTTTAAGGGTATTTTGATTCTTGAAGGAAGATGTTGACGGTGCAGTACAAGGTCCCACCCATTGAGTGCAAACTCAATGTACAACAGGGTGCGATTGGAATTGAAGAATACGAAGACAATAGTTAATCATTGTTTAGTTGTTTAGTTTAGTATGAAATACGATGCGCGCAAGCTGATCACATATAAACTCTGCTTTAGTTACTTTAACTAATCAAACCCTTGTCCAGACATGCTTGCAACGTCGGATACACCAAAGTCGAGTCTCGTGGTGCTTCAATCTGTTCACATGGGGAAAGAAGTTTCTATTCGGAGGTTCTGAAGAAGAGGAGGAGGACCTAGGTGGCAGGTTTTACACGAGACGTATTGCTCCCAGTTATTCTTTAGGTAAATAGTAAAAATCATCGAATTGCTGCCGGATTGTTGAGGGCGACAAATGATCTGATAAAGTACAGCCTGGCTCCATCAACGAATGGCGGCCGGTAGCGTCATGCATAACCATAGTCTAGTCCTCCCGCCTGAGGGGAAAGAAACCCCAAAAAACTGCCCATCGAGACAAAAGGGCAAGTCGTTCATCTTGAATCTGAGTCAGTTAGAGTCAGAGCCGGCAAGCGTTACGGTGGGTAGTAAGTAAACACACACAAGAGGGGGTTTGATAAGGAACCAACATCACACACTCCCATCGGTATAGAAATGATATTCTGGGTCGCAAGGTTTGTACATGCCCCTCAGCACGTGTGGAGCTATAATATGAACAAGAATATAACAGCCATCATCCACCGTAACCCTCACTTCCTTCCGTATCTAAGGATATACCTAGACAGAAGGCCAGCCGCCGGACCACGAGATGACATTCCAACCAAATAGAGTTTGAGAATCGGCATACCCAACGTCGGTGTTCACTAAAATAGTTAGACTTGATAGCGCATTGAAGCCAGAATTGACTACTCACTATAGTGATAGTAGAGGACCGCACCACGCTTGGGGTCAACCAAGACGCCTTGGCCACCGGGAGCATAGATTTTGTTATGAGATGGAAGAAGAAGGGTGCCACCGCCGGCCAGGCAGCTCTTGCCGCTCTTGTCGGTGTAGGGGCCATTGACAGAAGAGGCACGACAAACGAAAATCTTATACTCGTTTCCGGGGGTCGGGCGGTTAGCGTCGAGACCGCAGCAGGAGCCTGAGCTGAAGAAGGCCCAGAAGGTGCCGCTGCGCTCGTAGACGAAGGCACCCTCGACAGGCTGAGGGGCAGTGGTGTTCAGAATGATGTTGTATGGATTACCGTTGGCTTTGGTTGCAGCCGCATTCAGAGGCACTTGGAAAATGTCCTGCCAAAAGGAGCCAAAATTCAGGAAGTAGTTGCTACCGGACTTGACGAGCTGAGCATCGATGGCATTGTAGCGGCTGCCGGCTGAAGAAGCGACCCCGGTGGCGCCATGATCAGTCCAGGAGCCAAACTCCATGGTGGTGGAGGTAGCATAACCGATGGCCGAGTTTTGAACGCCGAAAGAGGAGACGGTGTAGTACAGAATGTACTGATCGCCAACTTTGTTCACATCAGGAGCCTATCCGAGACAAGATCATGAGTGTGTGCTCTAAAGGGCCGACAGTTTTTCCAGTCTCGTCGATTCTGACCCCGTTTATTGATGGCTAGACGGAAGATCGAACCCTTCAACCGGAAGGCCGAGAAAAGTGAAGGTACGAAAGGGAGACAAGGAAGGCTGGACCAGACATACCCAGAGATCATCATTGCCCTTGAGATTGATCTTGCTACCCGATGGCAAGGCAGCTCCTTGGTAGGTCCAGGGGCCTACCAAATCGGGAGCCTTCCAAATACCGATCTTGCTGCCAGTTTCGAAACGAAAGTAGGTGCCATCATCGCGACGGACAACGGCAGGGTCGTGACTCCAGCACTGGCCGGAGCAGGCTCCCGGATTACCGTAAGCCTGAACGGTGGCGCTCAGCAGCGCAGCTGCGAGTGAAAAGATGGAACCGAAGCGCATGATAGAGACCAAATTGTTCGACACAGGCAGAGGAACAGTTGACGCTATGCACTGCTGGAAGAGAGTGACTAGCAGAGAGATAACTTGGGATTGCCTGAAGAGAAGAGGTTCGCGAGGAACATAATAAGAGAAACTTTAAAGTAGGACGGGAACATGGAACCGGTTGCCATCTCTGGAAGGAACCGAGATCTCGCCATCCGAACTCCATCACGGAGGGTGATACCGGTACACGATAGTGTACATCGTTCCAGGCTGGGGGAGCTCGACTGGCCCTGGGTAATAATGTGCCCTGCGGCTTGATTGGCGGAATTCGAGCTCGCTGTCTGCGGCAGGCCCTTGTGGGCGGCGTGAAGATAAAGACGGGCAATATACTTGGAGCAGAGCCTAGGATTGACCTGGCCAAAGAGATGAAGGGGTGGTTAAAGGTGGTGCGGTGGACCGATACCTATTGTATGGCCAGACGGCGTCTTCGGCGGGCTGACCATTGACTTAAGTCACCAACAAGCTGCCTACGAACATACGAAGTGTCCGTATCTGATGGGATCGGGGCAAATAAGCAACGAGGGATGGGCAAATGAAAGGATAATTAGGCTATGACGGCTTTAAGCGAGTAAGAAACTGCCATGCGTGCCGTCGTCTGTGGGTAGCAAAGTTCAGATTAACGGAAACCTTGGAGAGTGGGAAGACCGTAAACGAGCTGGCCAGACAAGGTACAGTAGTGTATTGGTTTGTCGAAAACTGGCTCTCCGAATGGTGCGCATGAGAGGATGAGACCGGTTGACAAGGGAATTTCGAGTCTTGAAGGGTAAATTTGGGGCTGGTGAGTGCCGGCCGTATGCAGCCTGCAACCCTCTGCATGAGAAGGGCCGTCTAAAGAGCAGACGAACCCCGCGATTCAAGTCCCGTCACGATGGAACTCGCGCGGAATCTTTCCCCTATTGTGTTCAAGTAACTGTACAGATAGGCTCTATGCGTCGAAGAGTCTATCACTGCAGAGCATCCAACCATCCATAGACTGTGTTCGTGAACAGATAGACGACCGCAACAAGCGCTCACATCAAACGGAAGTATCCGCATCGAAGGAGAGATTGATCGTGATGAAATCACCGGAAATTGGAAGGGTTGAACTCTTGTGCATTGAAACTCCTCCAAGAAGCCTCATTACCCTTGCGATGGTTTGTTGTCCGAAGCTCTCTGACCAAGACCTTGTCTTTATGCAGGGATAAGACGGAATTCGCCATCGTCAAGCAAATGGGTGAAGAAAATAGGGGAGTTCTGCCCGCCATGGTGGCATTACATCTGGAGCCGAAGGGGGTCCGAAGCGAGCGGCCCAGAGAAAAGGGGGCTTGGATTGTGCCCAAGTCTCCAGGTTCAGGTCGCCTACCTCCCTTGTATTGTTTTCTTTTTATTTCGCACTCCCCTTTCATCCTAGGTCTGGTCGTCGTACGCAGTATGTGCCTGTGTCAGAATTAAGCTTCATTTTGGGGCTTGATATCCGTGTGCAACGATGCATCCATATCCATATCCATATCCATATCGAGAGGCTTAAGCTGTATTCGTAGACTGTACGCATACCTATTCGCCGTCTGCTCCATGTCTCGGTTGTTCGTCCGGATCAACGCGATCAACACGATCAGCGGTGTCCCTGTGGGCGAGGGAAACAACGTGTTTGCCGTGCTCGGCAGAAAAACCTACGTACTATGTATGTTATTCAGTGGAGTTTGGTAACGTGATGGGCAGAACCCCAGTTCACACGGGCCATGGCAGGGAGTAAGAAAGTCTCCGTTGGCCGTCACCTTGGCCTTTGTCGGAGGCTCGGAGGCTCGGAGGCTGGGGCCAATCAGCCCCGATCTACTCCGCAGAGTCAGATTATCAAAAGTAAAAAACCAATATCCGTACCGTGTCCTCATGATAAATTTAAGCGGCTACGAAGAAGGCAACTGACTTTGGCTTCCAGGCGATGAGAGCCTACTTGACCACACATGAAGGCGACTTGTGGCTAACCTTCGGGAATGGTATCGATGTGTTGATCAATCACTGGTACCGACCACCTCATCGTCGGGCTTTGGCATCCAGCTTGGACTCGGAGGATCGGGAAATAGTTTGGCGTTGTGAATTTTGGCTCATGGGTGGGCGAAACTGTGGGCGACGATTTGGAATAAGATGGACACCGCGTGGGTTTGGAGGAGGTAAATATTCCGAGCAGCGTCTCCCATAAGATGATGGCTCCACTCCTTGTCAATAGTGTACGGGGTACGGATACGGGATACATATATGGTACGAGTATCTGTGTCATGGTGTTCATAACTTCATATCCATTTTCAACAAAAGCAGCATCACGCTGAAGCCGTCTTGAGCGCCGTGCGCGGGCCCGCCCGCTCCCTTTTTCACTAAATCTTCGCCCTAATGAACGGACAAAAAAAGGGAGGGGAGGAACCGGATCTATTTACTCCGTAAAGGGGACATTCGGGTGTCAGAACCGGAGAGCTCAAGCGGACTGCGGTGGATTGTCCCGCTCAATCGGCGGACAGCCCGAGGCTGTCCATTCTAGATGTCATCAGCCATTCCCGAATCACCCAGATCTTGCGGCGTGTCAGCCGGAGCTCGACGGACAAAGGGCCGGTGTCTAGCCACCATTGTCCATGTCGGCCCTCCTTCGTGTTGGCCCCAGCCAACACATCCATCTCGAAGCTGCGATGTCACGGCCGCCAAGGGATCATCATTGCGTAGTGGCGGCCATTTCATCATGCGTTCACATCTCCGATCTGTACGTATATTAGGTTGGTCCCTTTGCGAGCCAACTGAGCCTGCTACGGACATGGCTTTGAGGGATACTTATGCCGTCAAAAACCACAGCTCCCACTCGAGGGCTGACTCTTGACCCCTCCAGTTCGGACCCTACATGTGTGGATGGTTCAGAGCTAGAGGGCGTGGCTTGGTTGATTAAGAAAGTGTATGGCAACGCGCTTCTTGTTACGGGCTTACCGGGGCCCTGCTGCCTCGTTGGTCTGACGGATCCCTGGCTGCAGTAGGCTTCGAATGCTCGCACTCTGGATAGCCGCAAAGAAAAAAAAAAAGGGGGGGGGGGGGCTTCATGGCGTTGCAGGAATGTGATGCGGATGCAGCCCGGCGGAGGTTACAGTTTGAGGCACGCCCGGTGGTTGAATCCTCATGTTCGTACGAATATGGCGTCGCAATCACAGGTTCATAGTGGTTTTGATTCTGTATCTGTACCAAGTTCTATTGTAGCTTGACTGCGCGTGCAGCCTTGCAAAATGCACATACACCAGTGCCACCAGTCATCAAGCTGTATGTTGAAAGACATGTAGGTCAGGAATGCGTAAGTCGTGGCACAAACTAAACTCTACACATAATAATCCTACTCGCCTACCTACCAGGTGAGAAGTGTCACGGCTCACCTGCGAGCAGGGTCCACACGCCGGACCCACTGGTTCGAGGTCAGGGCGGAGGGGGCAGGGCTGCTATCGTCGATGGATGCCATGTGGCCATGACTGATCGGCAAAGAGTCACGGACGCACGCAGTAGTTTGTTAGTTTAGGGTCCAAGACTCCAAGGGCCCAGGGCCCAGGGCCCAGGGGAGGAAGGGGGCGGGGGGAGAGGAGGGGAGGGACTTGGGACATGAGGAACCCGGCGCTCTGGATCTGTTACGTTACCAAGAGCCGTCAAAACTAACATCTGCAAACTCATCGTGTACCCATATCTTCAAGCCTGCTTCTCACCGTCTCTCTAGACTCAAAGTTCATTCAATTATCAGTGTCAGTCCCGCTTCTCCGGACTTCTCGCCAGGCGATCAACTACCTCTTACACTAGCTATATTAACTTCAGTATATTTTCTGTATTCGTATAACACCGTTGTAGTATGAAGCATACTCTGTGCACAGCTGGTATCGGCGACATGCACTCCATCTTCCCCCATTGTAAAATCGCTGTTTCCAATGGCTCCTACGCCATATCTATCGGTTATCCATGATCCTGGGGGCTTCAACTTTTGGCAATCCTTTGAAACTAATTCCGCTCGGACTTGTTCCTGGCACAATCAAGCCAGGAGCTATATGCTGTACGTTAGGGTGAATAGTCTGACGGAATACGCCCGCCGCTTTCGCGCGACGGCGTTTGGAGGGTGATTTGGGCTTGCCTTGTTAGTGCTGACCAGGACGTGCCGCCCATCTCATGATGGCTGGGACGAAAGCACGGCACAAAGAAACGTTCATCGGGAGGAGTAGACTTTCAAGAAGTCCAGGAGCCACTTGATCAACTATGTTGAGTTAACTTTGGGATTTCCAGCTGTCTAACCTTTGCTGGCCTTCCACGGTAAACAATAGGGGTGACAGCCTGACCGGGTCCTGCGAACTGGTGACGACAGGGTTTCCGGCCGAGAGTTGGGGTGCAGCTCACAAACTCCCACATGGTGAGATGCTGTAGTGCAGCTGACACGGAGGCTCCAACCCTGAATGATGCTACTTTGGGAGCGTCGTCTCGCAGACCTTTGGCTCCATCTCGCCCTAGTCAAGTAATACACAATGCAAGAGATGCGGCCCTTGAGAACCTTAGGCGATATCGAGAGGACGTCTGCGCCTTGCGTCCAATAGACAACGGGCTGCGCCAGTCTCCCCTGGATGGATGGAGGGCTGGTAGGCTATCTGATGTTGCGTTTGTACTCTGTACGGATAGAACATGAAGACTGGTACACAACCAACCCAGCCGAGGCGAACCGCGAACATTGGGCCAAGTTCCTGAATTGCGTCTGGCAGCTTCTAGATGCGGACAAAGAAGCGATGCAGTGGGAAATTTGACATGGGGAATGCCATTAGTTGTCGTGGCTGTCTATACCTACGACCTACTCCGTACACTACAGGCTACCAGTCTCTGGACCTTGAGGGACTGAGCATCACATATATCAAGTCAATCTCTAGCCTTGGGAAGCTGAGCAGTCACAGGTTTCCACGGTTCATATCAGGAAGCTGAGCAGCGATCGCGCGCCTTGGAGATTCGGACCAAGTACGGATAGTTGTCCTTATCCGTATGTACTACGTACCCCATACACCCAAGATGGATACTCAGCATGACGGCCAAATTTGCCTGCATTAGTGCAATTGCGACTGCAAGGGGCATGTCCTTTGTGATCGCTGATAAGGGGCCAAGGGCGTCGGGCTTGCAACGGTTTCTGTTAATGAGGACCTTCTCTGCAGCGTTGGTACTTTTGACTTTTTCTGTGTTTTCATTTCTTTTATTTCCGCACAAGATGGGAAAAGGCGGTTGAAGAATGAGGCATAGCGCGTGTGGAAATACAACCTGGAAACAGCAGGCCAAGCTTGCGTAGTGGTACATAGGTATCCGTATATAGAGGGGATTTACCCCTAGATTGTGACGCTCGTTGCCATTCTCACTAGCCCTCTTGTGTTTGCTATTTGCCTGCATGGGTGTCGTGATTATGCTTCGGCTGATTATCTGGTTGAGTGGATGGGCAACAATCATTGTTGGGTCTCTGTGCCTTGTGCCCTGAATATATGTAGTGCTCCGTATCCGTACATTGCACAGTACGACCACGACGACGACAAATGCTTACACTGCGAAGCAAATTGGACAACATGGCTCGCCGCGAGTCGACGACAAGGGTGTGACCGGCGTCGCCATGTTGCATCCTCGGCGACGGCGACACAGTCCCTCGAGGAACCAGAATGCGACCCAAAGACTTGGGTTCAATGGAATATGGGCGGATTCCTGGAGCCCTGCCCTCGAGGAACCATGCATATTGAAACATTGCAGTCTCAACTCGGGGGTTGGGTGGGCATGAAGGTGGATGGCTCATCCGATGGGAACCTCGGATGGACGGATGCATCGCAGTTGGGGGCCAATCTCGGAGCAAAAAGAGGAGTCGACGAGCATTTCTCTCTATCCATCTGTACGGAATATTCGTCCATGCGTTGGACATCTTGGTAACATCTTTCCCAAGAGTGAGCCTCCGTCAGCAGAGTTCACGGTGATATTGACATGTAATTACCAGTACTCGATAATTGTCACCTGCATGGCAAAGTTAGAAACAGGACGCGACGATCCATGGCATGCAAAGGGCCCCATGCCGTGATGATCTGGACTCTGGAGTGACAATCTAGCGTTGTTCGTGCCTATGGATACCTCCTGATAGACACAACAAGCGGCGTCTCTGTTGAAAAATTGCAGACTTTCTCCTTCCCAATCTAACATGTCATATTAGTCAGTCAGTCAGTTAATTAAATCAATCAGCGAGGCACAATCAATCGGACTGGGAGACCAGGGCCTGGATCCTTCTGGTCGCCGAGCGTGGTGCACTCTTTATATACTAAGCCGTCTTACTCACTGTTTAACTCCATCGTTTTGCATTACTAAAGGATTACTATAGTATATATAAATATTACCCTGCCCTCGAATTCCGTACTATTTAACTTTAACCCTTTTCTTACCTATCCTTTCCTCTATTCTACCCTCTCCCTTATTAAGGGATCGCTAGAATCGTAATTTTAATAACTTATTAATAAGCTAGTACTATTATTTAAAAATAAATAACTTATACTCGTATATAAGTACTAGGAGTCTTATTATTATAGAAATAGTAATAAATATATTAGAGTACTTAAGAGAGCTTTTTAATAAATTTTTAATACTATTTAAAGTTATAGTCCTCGAGCTATAAAAAGAAGCTAAAGTATTATATTAATACGGCCCTATTCGTCTTATTAATACTAATAATAGTCTTTTTAATATAAAATATATTATTAATATTTTATAACTACGTTATTACGCTTTATAAATCGTACTTAATATTAATAAAGATTTTAGTATTATCTTTTAGTTCGTTTTTTAGTTTTTTTATTAAGGTCGTTATTGTAAGGTTAGTTTAGTTATTAATATTTTAATAAGCATTTTAACTTAATTTAGAAGCTCTTATAGCCCTTAAAGAGAGGTTTTTAAAGGACTTATAATTAAACTTTTTACTTATTATAAGTAAAGCTATTATAATTAAAGCTATAATATTATAAACCTCGATAATAAGTAGTTAGTAATATAGTTATTTTTTTTTTATAGTAAGCTTAAAAAAGTATTTTAATTTAAGTACTAAGTAAGTACTATACTATTTTATTAAAACTATATTCTTATACTTATAACTTAGAAAGAATTAACTTTCTTCGATAATAAGGTACTTAGAGCCGTCTTATTATATACTTTATATAGCGTCGGGCTCTTGGCAGTAATTACCCTTGTTCCTGGGCTTTACCAGGGCCCCTTGCGGGACAAAATCACCAATGGTTCCAGTCCATACCGAAGAAGACTGACTGTCAGCATTACTTCGGGTACAGAGTGCAAGGAAAGAAGAAGCTTGCAAAGACTTCTTCTGGGGTCGGCCGCTGGCGTTGGCGCTTTGTCATAGCCGGGGCGTCCCCCACGAATCTACCTTGCTGCCAGTCTCTACTCCGTATTCCCTGGGAACGCGACATGGGGACAAAGAAGCCTTGGAAAGATGGGGGCACGAAGCCTGGTCATTTGGACTACGAATATCCTCGTTCGGAGACGAACCAAACCAATGTCAAGCAGCAGATCCCTTCCAAAGTACGAACAGGCATGGCATTCTGTGTACAGTAGTGTGCATAGCGGGTTCCGGACACCCAGGGTAGATGACTAGGCCAAATCGGCTGCAGCTTTCGAGTGTGCAGCACTGCAGATGCCGACGGACGGGACGGAGGACGAGGACAAGGACGGCGTTGGACGCTCGGTTCAGCAAGGGCTGTATCCGTATGGCCGGCTCCTAGCCAAGGCAAGCAAGGCCATGTAAGGCCGAGCAGGGCAAGGTACATGTCAACGGGCGTTTTTCAGGTTGGCCCAGCTGCAGAAGAGACAAGCCGCGAAGGTGACGGACGCGAAGGCTGGAGTCTGAAGCAGGCATGACTTGGATATCTGGGGGATATGCCCCCTTCATTCTCATTCTGCGAGCTCGTCTCATTGACAGTGTCAGTGTCAGCTTACCTTGGTCCGCGTGTGACCCGGTGTCTTGCTTTACTTCTGCTGCTTTGTTTCTAGTTTGTTATTGTGTTTCCCTCTTTGCAGGTTCACCATCTTACCTTACGACTGGATCAGCCACGCGCGGACTCGACGAAGCTGTCCGAGAACCGAGTGATTCCCATACTTCACCGGGCCGGCCGAACGACAACTAGCTGCGTACAAACGGGCGTTCTCCACGCAATCGCTACGACACTACGGATGTTAAGGGATCCTTCGAGCAGAATCCGAAACTTGAGCGGTGGCGCGAATCCCACACAGAAACAGCGATACTCTGTTGACTCTGGATCGGGTTTCTCGGCTCCTACGTATAAATCGAGTACGCACCACGTCTGCTTGGCATCGTTCGGTCGTCGAAAAAGAATTGAATTGAATGGATGCTGCTGCTGCAAAGAGGTCTGTTTTGTGATCTTGGCATGCATCCTTCTTTCCATCCACGCTGCTCTCATCCGACCATTTTCATCTCACCAAAACGCATCGAGTACCTACCTGACCGGGGCCTTTCATGATCCACAAACTGTTTTTGAGCGTACGTGAGGAGTCATTCTCTTTGCTGCCCGAAGCCAATTTCCTCTTTCCGCTCTGCCCTCTGAACCATGCTGATGAGTGACTGCCTTTAGTCCCGTCGTCCAAGGTCCCATTCATCTGAAGCGGAACACACCGAGCGAAGGAAGACGACTCTTTCCTAGATACACAACCTGCAGAAAGAGAAGATCCGACGGGCGAAAATCAAAACGAAACAGACGATAGAGAAGAGGGAGAAAAGACAAGGTGGAAAAAAAAACGTAGAAGGGAAAACTCGGCCGCATCCGCCCATCTCAGCGGGCGCAATAGACGCACCACAAACGCCCAAGACACCCTAAAACGGACCGTCATTTGGGGAACGACACGCCACAGGAGCAGCGCCATTGCCCCCCCCCCCCCCCCCGGGCCGGGAACCTTCTACCCCAAATCGGCTGGGCTCCCCGCTGTCCGAACCCCAGTGCTCACCAACTCACTCTCACTCTCACCCTCACTCTCACCCTCACCCTCACCATCACACTCGCTCTCTTCACCACCTCTCTCATCTGCGTGACTGGGCTCACCTCACCAGGCTCATCTCAGGGAGCACCCGACTGCAGCAACAAATCCTTACCTGTCCCGTACCTTACGGAGTACCTACCTTACGTTGGTTACCTCGGTACCTTATCAGAGTTAGCTCCCTCATTCCATGCTCATTTCGACTCCCTACCAGGTCCCCCCAAAGGTACCTTATCTACCCATCCAAAGCACCAATCAGGGCAATTTGTACCTGAGGTTCCCTGTACCGATTACATTCCGTACTTAGGTACACTACGGAGTAAGGTACTCTGCAGCAGTGTACCCTAGGTACGGTAAGGCACCTAAGGCAGGCACTTGCCAGGTTAGGTCTTTTAGGGGACTTTTGAGTCGTCTTATCTTATCTCGACTCACTCTGGGGGTGGGCTGCCATTCACTCACCTCTGTCTGTCTGTCTGTCTGTCTGTCTGTCTGTCGTCTCTCTCCCTCTCTGTCTCTCTCAATTTCATCACTTCCTCTTCCTCTACGGAGATCCTTTGTGCAGCTCTTCTCACGTCTTGAATATCGACGTTCGCGACAGCTGCAGTCGCTACAGCATCCTTTCCACACCAAACTCCTGGGATAACCTGTAACTCGTTCAGACCGGGACTGGCCCATCCACAGCGCGTGAGCGGCTCTTCGTGAGCAAGGCCTCTTTACCGGCAGAATCACCCGTCAACATGTCCGGCCGAAGCGCCTATGTGCGCAAGAAGATCACTCAAGCCGAGAAGGAAAAGGCGAGGGCAAGATCAAATACCGGCGGCATAATAGGAGAATATGAAGACCTCACCATCCCCGAGTTTCCGCTTCCCCAGACCGGCGCATCTTTACCCGTTGGCACCGGCATCGGCACTACAAATGCACGCTTCCTCAAGTTCTCAGAGCCTCCACGCGACATCAAGCCAGGCACACCCAGCATAGGCAGTGGCAGTGGAAGCAGTGAGGGCGGCCGTCGTGACGGGAGCTCCGGCCCCCTAGACGACTTCGCCTATGCCCGCGCCCGGAGACCTACCATCAAGACGGAAGACGTCTCGGGCATTGAGAAGTCGGGTTTGCGAAGCAGGCTGGACAAGAAGAGCGAGGATGTACGGAGAGGCCTGGCCAAGACTTTCACCTTCAAGCGCAAAGACAAGGAACTCGACTTCCGTCCTGAATCCGTCGCTACTGTACGCCCGGGTCAACATCAGAATCCCGCCCCAATGTCTCCCACGGAGCTCGACTACACCTATGAACAGTTCAACATGGACACGATGCAGCAGATGCACATACAGCGGCAGATGCACATGCAACAGCAACAGCAGCAGCAGCAGCAGCAGCAGCACCAATACCACATGCAGCACATGCAGCACATGAATCAACAAATGCGACATCAGGATATGGATCTGCCTACATCACCACCCCCGGCATCGAAGCTGCCTCCTGTGCCGACCACGCCGCCCATCAAGCGATGGATCGGCGCTGGAAGACCTGTTCAAAGGTGGAATAAGCTACGCAAAGACCCCGAACTGTGGGATCCGAATGGTGATGTTCTCGTCTTCTTCGGGCACAAGGGCCAAGCCCCACGGCCGAACCCATCCTTCAGACTATCCTCACACATAATCGAAGCGACCGAATCGAGGTATCTCATCACGTTGCTTCGGGAGGGCACAACCGAGGAGGACATCTACATGCCCCCATCTCCACAGGGTGCGCCACCCATGCTTCGGCCACACATGCGCGGTGGGCAACCGACACCGCCCATCTCGGAGGATCTCGGCGAAGCTGACGGGCAAATTTCATACGAAATGTACTTCCCGACTCCTGCAAACATGACCAAGACAGAACAACTCAGAAGCCATATTACAACAAGAAACGTCTTTGCCTTGCTCTATCACGCATCTCTGGTCGGGTTGACGCTTCACCAGGCTCTCTCCGACCTGCACATGCGATTGGATGCCTACATGCCACCGGACGCGGACAACGTCGGCATGATCTTGAACTATCTGTCAGCCCGGGGAATAGATGACGTGCGCAACGACCCGGAAACGGCTGTCAGCTTGCTGGCGTGGTCTGAAGGGTCAGCTGTGTGATGGGAGGAGGGCTGGCGGGAGAGTTTTCTACACTGCGCCGGCATGTACAGCCAGCTGGAGACATGCGCCGACTTCAAAGACCTCACGCCCATCACCCGCGCGCTCCTGGAGCGGGCATGTCTCGAGACGCAGCTCCGCGTCCAGGCGGCCGAAGAAAGACTCGTGGAGTTCCAGTATGGCGACCTGTGGCCGGCAGGTGTTGGTGGTCAGGCAAAGGCGGCTGCAGACCGTTTACAAAAGTTCTTCTTGAACCACTACCTTCACTCACAAGGAGCGTGGCCGCCGGCTCAGACAACTGGTCTCCCAGACTCCGACGGCGAGGACATATGGCTTACAAGGAGCGTGGCACAATCATTGCAAAAGGACTTTGGGGCGCTGTATGACTACCTCGTCAACCGCGATATTGTCTGGGACATGTCCGAGGCGCGATCAGGGCGCAAATGGATGATGCAGAGCGAAAAGGACAAGGGATTTGACGCCGACATCGACATTCCCATCACAGACATCCTCGTCGAGTTCGACAATAAGTTGCGGTTTCCACATATCCCTCATCCATACCCCATGGTACCCGAATCCATTCCGCCAGCGCCGTCAAAGGAGAGCTCCATGTTCAAGAAGAAGACTGGCGCAGGTGCCAACAACGGTGGCCGAGCGGGTGCCCTGGAACGACGAGTTCAGTTGGCATACACCGAGGCCACTAACATTTATATCCTTGGTTCTGACTTTACACAATCGGACCTAATTGACGCCTTTGTGAAATTCGAAAAGAGCGACAGTGTCACTGAGGTCGATCCGGCCGTAGCCCGACGGGGACGTTGGGTTCTGATCTACGGCATTCTACAGACGCTGGCGAGTGTGTCGGTGGACGCCCCCAACGTGCGATACCGCGACGGAGTGCCGTATCATCTGTCTCCGCGCCTCAGGGGCACAAGAGTCCCTCCGTGGAAGGGCTCCAGCACGACAGACGAAGCCTCGCACGAGCTATCTCACTGTTGGATAGTACAGCTCAGCTGGAACACGCCGAACAACGGCGGCGCTGAGAGTTCGGGCGGACCGGGCAATACCAGTCCAGTGCAAAACCTCGCCCGCCCATTTGCGTACCCGCGCGCCCCGGCTTCGACGACATCGCGAGGGTCTGGGTATCAGACGACCGGGACCCGGTCCATCCACTCGACGGGTTCGGCGCCTCATTTCAGCTCGGCGTACAGCGTCGTTAGCGAAAGCGACACAGCCAGCAGCATCCGTACACCAGCATCCAGTCGACCTGGTACCAACATGAAGAGAGCGCAGTCGCGAGATAATGTCAAGGGCCTGGGCGGCGGACCGGGAAGCATGCGCAGTGCCGCCACGTTTGGCGGCACCGGCGCCGGCGGCGTAGAGCGAGGAGAGGCAATGGAACTGCCCATTCGAAGGCGTGACTTGAGCGCCTTCTTGGATAATAACGGCTCCCACGGCAATTATGCGCGATCCAGCAGCGCCTCGCAGCACGAGCAGCAGTCGCTCCCCTTGCCAAGCAACATCACGGGATCAGGAGGCTTCCTTGCATTCGACGACACGTTGGATAGGAAGAGCGCGCGGGGTGGGTATAGTCATGGACGAGTGAAGCGCGAGGGGTCTGAGACGGACAGCATGGCGCCACGAATTCGGGACTTTGATTTGGATGTGATTGATGATCATGAGCCATGAGGTGGACGAGGCTAGGGCAGCCAAGCCATTTTGGAGATGGAGCTGGCGTGATGGGACGAAATAATTTTTGTATATATTCCTGAGCTGATGCCAGGTGGCCAGTTGTAGATATCTTGGGCTGGCTTTGAGTTTTCTCTTTATTTGGAGGTGGACATAAAAGTTGGAGACGGGATAGTTTAGTTAGTACCTTGCTTGTGTTGATTGAGTGATACCCGCCAATTTGCTCGTACTGTTTTTTGGACGAATGAGATACGAATCACTACCTGATTGTCGCCAGTCTGACCTACCTTGGAATAGATACATGTGATAGCATTAGAAAGGGAGGCGTGAGTGAGGTGTGATATTGGATAGACTGTAGCTTGTCTGGACGCTCGTCAAGATGGTTTGGCCCAGACTGGTTAATCGGGTCAAGGATCCTTAGCTAAATGGCCCCCTTCTACTTGGGTTGGAGGTCAGAATAGGGATGATTAGGATCACGAGGATCGTGGCACAGGAAAAGGCGCAATTCAGAGACATTTGTTGGTCGTCAGAATCGACGGCGGCGGTGACGTGGTGTACCCATCCAGTAGCTTCTCGTTACCATTGTCCCATTCTCGTAGTCTTGAGACTCCACTTGGGCCGAATCAGGGCCGTGTTGCTGCCGTGATGTTTGAAGCCGTCGCCGGCGATGCGGAGTGCAAGCGTGAAAGAAACCATACTCTGTGCATGCACGTACGGATGCACTCCGTAAGGTACACTACGGGTCTACATACTTGGTATGAAGGCGCGAGGAGGGAGAGACGATGTCGCGATGGGATTTTGAGTGGGAGGGATGGGTCGAGGCCAGCGGCCCAGCCCCAGACCCCAGGCCCCAGCCACCTCATCATCTCCACTCTTTTATTTTATTTTTCTTTCCCCCGGCGGTCATGGTGGATGATGATGACCAGCCCCGCCGATTTTAGGTTGGAGTGGTTCCTCGTGCAACAGTACCGGGGGTCTTGAAAAGACACAGGATTGGCCGAGATGATTGCAAAACTCCACGTTGGATGAGTTGTTTGCCGTTGGACGGTTGGGGACTTGGGGTCTGCCTGTCTGACCCTGAGGCTGCGAGTGTCTGGACCATGAGTCTATGGCTTTTTGCTGGCCGGAAAACCAAGGTCTCGTAAGGTGTATGTGGCCGTACCAAGCTGTGTTACCTCGACTGAGATACCTCAACGGCTTCTGTTCCCGGATCGAATGAGCGAGTCCGGCCAGCAGTAATGGTGTGGATAGACAATGCGATGGGCAGAATTGACAGGGCAAGAAATCAGCCATCAAAAATGAGCGCATCGCCCGGTTGTTTTCTTCTCCATTCTGCAGCACCTTTGATTGGAGAGACTGGACAGTCTAATCTGTAAGATGACGGCCATGTATGCGTATAGATGCCGGCGAGAGAGTCGCGAAGAAAGATGGTGTTTTTGTGAGGTACCTTGCAGAGTAGGTACCTTGCAGTGCAGGTAAGGTGCCATGATACTTGGTGGACAGACACGACAGAGTACCTTACCTCGCAGTAGGTAGATGTGTACACAGTAAGGTACCTATGGAAGCAAGTGCAGGGTGGAAGGAAAGTGCAAGGGAAGGAACTGGGCAGGCCGCAGATGGCACCTCAGGCCTCGGCCAAAAGGGGACAGAGAGGAGGCCGATCGCCGACGTCATTGCTGGTGACGCACCTCACCTCACCACAGCTCACTTCAACCAGGCTTCATCAGCAAACACCTCTCTCTTACCTCACAGTCCTCACATTACTTGCCCTTTACCCTCTACCGAGTTTTCGGGCTAGATCTTACCTTACCAATTGAAGTCAGACATCCTTGGTCATTCGTACCGGGTGCAGAGTACAGAGTACATTACATAGTACGGGGCGGACACTCGAGAGAGAAATCAAGGGTGCTCGGGCTCCCGCTCTGCGACATGCTTGTCTCCAGTCCGTGTCATTGTTTGACGGCCGTTTGCTCGTCCCTGGCCCTTGGAGACAGCCATCAAGTAAGGCCGTGCAACAATAGCCATACCCAACAAGCCATGTCTGCCTGTCTATATGCATATCCAAGGTGCGAGAGAGAGAGCGCGAACCGCTGCACCGAGCTGCGCAGCCGGAACCCTCTTTCTTCCACCATAGTGATTCCCGGACCCATGTGAATCTGTCACTTTATGAGATTGTGAGGCCTTCATCCCCGTTCCTACCTATTCCGTCCCATCGCACACCTGCCTCTCCACCTCATGGTTGATCCAATCCACACGAGTGCGAGATTGAAATTTACAGACAAGAGTGAGAGTGAGAGTGAGAGTGAGAGTGAGAGCAAAATATGGTAGATACAACAGGAAATGACAAAAAGGCGGGAAACGGGCAGGGTATCCGGCATCTTGGATGTTACATTGGCCTTCCTTACCTTACCTTTTTGCTGCCTCACCATCCATGAATGAAATGCTCGACCATTCTCCTTTCACCTTGCACTACACCTTGACATCTCCATCATCCTTGGCCCATGCAATCCTTGACTGGCAACCCGCGATCCAGCCCAACCCCCCCCATTCGAGTACCACACACCAACGAATTGCACCTGTTTACCACCACGACGAAATAAACCTGGCCTTGCGCATTGCGACTTACCTTGCTTTTTTATTTCTCCTCTCTCTCTCTCTCTCTATCTACGCACACACACCTACACCCACGCGCATACTCCCTCGCCCACCCCCCGGTCTAATTTTGCTATTGCTGCCCACCCCGGATGGGCTTGTCCCAACTTGCAACTTGCAAGACTTGCTGACCCAAACCCAAACCCGACCTGCATTGGCTCTGTTTCTGGCTCACACACGCAAGTCACGCCTTGTTTATTTAATCACCCTTCCCACCCCATCCCAACCACCCGCCCGTTCATCTGAAAGGGCTCTATTAAAAACAAAACACGAGCGACAGAAACCCCCCTCCCCCCGAGCTAGCGGGACTTTGATTTTTTGCTTTCTCACTTACCTGCTCTACCTACCTTGGCAGCTCCCCTTCATCGATAGCCTTTGTCTTTGTCGATCTCAAGACTCTTTGAATCCGTAGTCGCCTGTCGCAAGCGCAATAACAATAATAACACCACCGCTACCGCCGGCGCATCTTGTCGCAGCTTGTCGCATCTTTTCCACACAGCAACCGGTAGCTTCTTGCCTGACCGTTTGGGCTCCCAACCGCCCGCCATGTTGTTCGCCGTCATGTTCGCGGCGACGCGATTCCTCCAAATCGTCACCTTGGTACGTTTTCCCCCTCGTCGATACATTAACTCAACTACTCAATTTTCTTATTCTTTATTTTTTTGTAAAGAAAATTTCAAGTTTTGTTTCAACTAACACAATGTCACAGATCCCAACCATGGGCATGCTCGCCTGGTTCGTCGATGGCTTCGTAAAGCGCAACGTTATCGTCCCCGACTCTATCCTTGTCCTCTTCATCGTCTCCGTCCTCGCCCTCGCCTGGGCTATCTTCACCCTCTTCAGCTATCACCGCAGCAGCACAAATGCACTCTTCGTCGCAGTCATCGACCTTGGTTTCGTTGGTGCCTTCATTGCCGCCGTCTGGTACCTTCGCGGCATCAACTATGTCGACTGCACAAACCTCGCACGCGACGGCCGCTGGTCTGCAAACTTCCCCGGCCTCGTCACCATCTCTGGGCCCCGCTTCAACCTCTTCACCGATAAGCCCTGTGCCATGCTCAAGGCATCTTGGGTCTTTGGCATCATCAACACCATCCTCTTCTTCTTCACCGCCGTTCTCGCCTGGATGCACGGTGACCGCCTGTCCTCCAGCTACGAGCGCAAGTCCTACCACCACGGCCGTCACCGCCGTCACCGCTCCCACAGCCACCGCTCCCACAGCCGTCGCAGCTCCCACTCTCACCGTCGCGTCTACGTTTAACATCTCTTCAACCGAGATTGACGATAATTGCAATGCATTTCTTTTTTTTAGGGGGGCAGGGGGGGGGGGGGTGGGAGGGGTAGGGAGGGATTTGACGACTTGTACAAGAACGAGAAAAACAAGAAGACAAGATAAAGATACCATGACATGATACGATAGGATGTGGAGAGTATATGACCGATGCTCAGGGATGGTTCATGTAATTCCAGCGACCCGGCGCATGTAGTGGACGACATACTCGTTTATGATGACGAATCTAACGGCATTAATTCACGACATATTTTTTCTGCCGTGCTTTGCCTTTGCACAGGCCATTATCGTTTGCCTGTATCCGGCTTGGTGATTGTCTTGTATTTTCTCCTCATCCTTACCACACTCAGAACGACTGCTTGGCTTGGCCGAACGACTGGCCGTGAGGTGATCTGCGGTGGGTGTGCAGGCCAAATCGCACTTTCAGAACACGGCAGCAATGACATGTCAAATCACGATGGAAAAATTGGTATCTTGAGGTTCTCACTAGTAGTCTATGTGTATGTGTGTTTTTGGTACCCTGCCCTGCGCCGATTCAATGTAACCCGTCAGTCGTCACTCTTATTCATGCCCTGCCAGCGTCCTCGCCAACCGTATAACCCCGCGCAACACCGCTCCGGCCATCCTCGACGACGGTGCTGCTCTCCTCGTCGTAGTCCGTTCCGAGACCCTGCCACGTCCGTTGCGATCGCAAGTACTCGGCACCGGGGCTTAGCACGCCGTTGATGGTGGCCACCTCGCCCATTGCTCTTTTCACCAAAGCCGACTCACCAGGCTTTTTGCTGCTGCTGCTGCTGCTGCTTTCCTCCTCGTCGTCGCCGCCGGTCTTGGGTTCGCTGTTGGCCGACCGTATCGGCATTCTCATCGGCCGACTGGCCACCAGCTTGCCGGTGCGCAAGTCGTATTCTGGCGGCGCCGACTCGTCCTCATCCAGCTCCTCCTCCTGCCTGACCGCGTCGTGGTCCATCTTCTCGATACCACCCCACCACTCGAGGCCCCATACGCGCTCGCTCTCAGGCTTCAGCGCCACCTCCATCTCAAAGGGCGTGATGACGGGCTTGAAGAACCCGGCGTCCTCTTCCACTAGGCCGCTCTCCCAACACCCTACGACGACCCAGCCGTCGACCTCGGCAAAGTTGGCCAGCTTCGCGGCATTCAGCTTGCCCACCACGACCGTGTAGCTCTTTTTACCAGCTTCGGCGATACGCCGGCGTAGGAGGTCGATGCTTCCGAGGTAGTTGGACACGGAGAGCGTGTTGACGAGGATGCCCACTACACCAGCCGTGGCCAGGGTTAGCACGCGGGCGAAGCGCCGACGGAGGAGGGCATTTGTTGTTCGTGTTGGATCGTCGGTCGACAGGCTCGGCGTCGAGAGAACATGGAGAGAGGCCATGCGGGTCTGGAGCGCGAGGAGGAGCGCTGGGGGCGGTGTCGAGATGTGGAAGAGAGAGTGCTCGGACAGGTCGGTAGTTGGGGGGGCGTCCGATGAGGAAGAGTCGACGATCTTACGGTTTGGGATCGTGCCGGTCGGGTCATGTGTCACTTCGGTCTGCAGCAACGCTGTGTATCCCGCGGAGCGCAATTTCGTCGCGAGGGGAGCGACATGGTCCTGATATGTGACGTCGGCCACCACAACCACCTTGTGCTGCTTGTCGTGGAATTCTTTAGAAAAGGCCTCGACTGCTTGGTCGATGTCGAGGGTGTGCCGCGTAAAGACGTAAATGACGGGCAGCCTCGACGTCGGTGATAGGCATGAGCGGCCATAGTGTACGACAATCTGGGCGTCGGCGTGCTCGGCCGCGATCTCGTCGACGCAGCAGGCGCTGTAGGACGTGTCGGCAAGGATGTACACGCGATGGGTTTCGCTGCCGCCCAGAGCTTCCGTTAGCGCCTCTGCGACCCATGAGGCGTCACGTAGCATGGCGTCAGGGAACTGGAGGGCGACGCGGTTCCAGCCGCCCTCCTTGATTTCGCGCGCCGTACGCTCAATCTCGTAGACGGAAGCGAGCTCAACTTGGGTGCGCTCGGCGGTCGGTGGAGGTGGGGGCGTCGGTGTCGGGTCTTCAAAGGTGTGTTCGGCGGGCGTCGAGAGGACGGGCGCCGCTGATAGTTCTGTCATGGCCGCCAGCTGTTTGCGAAGACCAAGAAAACCTTTTTCTTTCTGGTAAACGGGTTGAGGAAGAGGAATCAGTCGATGGCGGGGTCACGCTAATGGCGGGGTACTAAAAATCAAGGTCAGGCCCAGGTTCACCTTGTCGGTGAGCTCGGTGTAGATATGTTGATTAAGCGATACCCACTTTGAATTGGAAACTCTTGTAAGTCGATTGGTCAACGATCTTCTCTACTGAGCACACCGCGGGAGGCTGTGGGCGGCTCTCGTCTTTCACTGGTAAAGCACACAATCCTAATATTGCAATGCCCATTGGGATTGTTCGTTAAAGAAGATAGCATGATTATTTTTGGGGGAAATCACGACCGATTTCATAACCGATTTCTCTGCTTCTCAGCTGATACTGGTGCTTCTACGGATGTTCTTCCTTAATGTTGATCATTATCGTGAAAAATGGTATTAGTTTGGGACCGAGTTTGCCTATTCTATGATATGTCCTCATTTCAGAGCTTATAGGTACCTAGAATAGGCCAAAACAATTGGCGTAATAGGTGACAGTGGCACTCCAGTCCGAAAAGATGCTCAAGACACCAACATCTTGGGCAAGCACGTGGAGCAGGTTATAGACATCGCCGTCATTGTTCGTGACGTTGGCGATGGAAGTGTAGTAGTAACCGCCCTTGGTGTCGTCTCCGAGGAAGCCAGAACGCTCCAAAGACCATGAGATGATCTTGAGACCCAGCTCCTTGGCCCTGATCGCATACGAACTGGGCACAATCTTGCCATCTTCGACGGTGACGAGGTAGTACAAAGGAGGGGCCATGATCTTGACACCAGCAGCAGCAAACTGGGTCAGGTTGGCAACGGCTCCCGGGTAGGTCTCAGGGGTATCTCCACTCTCGTCCAAGAGAACGCCCTGCTTGCCGAACTCGGGCTCGGCCTTGAGCCAGTACAGGATATCAGGGTAGAAGAACGACTGAGGCCAGACCCGCTCAGGGGCAATGCCGGCTTCCTTGTACTCATCAATCAGCTGTTGCGCGTACTGTTCTTGCGTGTAGTCTCCCTCGAAAGGCATCTTAACCTCGGGAACCTTGAGCTCGGGAGTGAATTGAAGACCTAGGTCGTTGGTCATGGCGATGTGTTCCTTATGGGTCATAACGGTGCCGCAGGTAGAGTACAGGTCGGTGCGGTATCTCGGGGTACCAAGCAAGAAGTCTTTGGGGTTGACGGCCGAGGCATTGAAGCCATCCATCTTGCTGCAGAGAGTCTTGAACTCGGCGACGGTGATGTCCGAGGTGCAACACTTGGCGGTCGCGGCCGTACCGTTGCCGGCGGGGGTGAAGGGAATGGTGCACTTGGCGTTGAGTTCGGGTATGGTAACGATGTTGGTCGTCGTGTGAAGATCGCACTGGGAGTGACGGCAGACTAGTTGACGGTCCTTGGTGAAGGCAACATCGCACTCGAGAACGCCAGCACCCATACGCGCACCGGCAAGGTTTGATTCGACTGACTCTTCAGGGATCATCAGAGTACCGCCGCCACGGTGCCCAATGCTCCAGCTGGAGGGCTTGATGGGCTGCTCTGAACACGACTGCAGTTTTTCCTTAAGAGGGCCCTCGTCCATGTCGTTGACCAGCCAGTAGGGTCTCGGTCCCAATTGAATGCTGGTGATGGGCTTGTAGACAGGAGCTGGCTTGGGACAAGGGACAGCATTGACTTGGCGGGAAGCGACAGCCACGAGGCCCGAGACGACGATGGAGTTGAAATGCATCTTGACTGGTGGTCGATGATGATTTGTCGATGTCTCGCGCAACGAAGGGACACAGCGATCAACAGAGAACTCGCCGGGAGCAACGCCGAGGGAGAAAGGACTGCGAAAGCTGGAGCGGGAGCTGGAGATGAGAGAGACGGAGAAAGATGGAAGCGGCCGGTCGCTTGAGCGGACGCGAGTCGAGGTGACCCCGTCTTATGTAGGTCGGTCTCCAGGAGCCTGAAGAGCGTGGTGGTTGTTCTGCCAAGACAACCAGCAGCTGCAATGACGGATAGCTCTGATGAGGGCCCCCGGGGTAGAATACGTGGTTTAAGATGACCGACGCATTGCTAGTCTCTCAACGTGATGCTGAGCAGTTCGTGAAAGGCTGCAGATTGGATAGGCCCTGGCAATATGCCGGGCCACATGCTTGCATTCGGTATAGCCGTCTGATGTCTTCCCTGTGATGATTTAGTAGCGCATGTGTATGTTTCCGTCCCGTGTATGGAGTAGGTCCTTGAAAGACAGGGGCAAGGTCAGCACCACCCACAGCATTCGCAGCGTGGAATAAGATGAATGGGGGGGGGGGGGGTTACACAGTTGGCCGCAGAATGCGCTGGGTATCAGCACGTGTCAACGGAAGGATCATGTCCCTAGAAAGAATTGAAGATATTGCGCAGTAGTACTGTAGAGTCGTCCGTCCGTGTAGATACCATCTACAGTATGGAGGAATACTAGCCTCCTCAAGTTTGTTTGCTTCCCAGGACTATTACCCTACCTTAGGTACTCTGTACTGTGAGTGTGTACTGAAGGTTGTAAGAGAGGGCAAGAGTGAGGGGTCAACGGCGGCACGGCCCCACTAGATGTCCTTGGCGGCCCCGCACCTGCTATGGAGCAGAGCTGCGTGTCAGAAGGACGCCCCCTCATTCGCCAATTGGGCCATCCCAAGCTCTGATCCCACCCACCTCACCTCGGGGCTGATAAGGAAGGAAGGTTGCCATCCCACGTCTTCCATTCATCCCAATGAGGTGCCCTACCGCTGCTGCATACCTTAGGGAAGGTAAGGTACCTCAAGGTAAGGTAAGGTACTCAAGTACTTAGGTCACTGGT